AATACCTTTCCATAAATGTCTATTGTTGCGACTGCTTAGAAATTGGTACGTATAGGGCGAGTCGTTTTGTTTAATTGGGTGTGCATAGTGTTCATCTATGTGAGCACCACTAAATAATCAAGTGGGCACATTAACAGGCGCTACACGTCATTCGCACCGCTGTTCGTGTAGTTTCGGTCAACTCAATCCCAGTTACGCATGAAGCTATTTGTTCACCAAGATTTTATCTGCAAGCAAATTAAGCCACTGAATTGTAGGAAACATTTGTCCAAGCCGTATACCCTCGCTTGACTAAAAAGGTTCAATCCTTTTTGTATGTAACCGAAATCTAGTTATTTGATGCTTAAATAACTACTCTCAAGCGATACTCGATAGTCTCTATAATTTGTACCTATAGGTTATATAGGCATGCATTTAAATCAAAAATGTTCACAGTGGAGAAAAGAAGAAGAAAGTCGTACAGACCGATGAACGATCAAAAGATGTCCTGGTACATTGGACCAAATAATATAATCCCGTGAGTATCGGTGACGCATGATATCAAATGAGAATGTGACAATTCAAACAATGTGACAGAGAGCGTGTAAATTTAGCGCAGCCAATCGAAGGGCGCGCTGACTTTGTGTCTCATAAGGTAGATGAATAATTATCGGGACTGGTGCTAGATGTGGTTTTTGTGGTTCACAAAACTTTAACTTTTTCTTCTTTCGAAACATTCTCTACTTGAACAACATTATCCGGAACAAATGGCATGATTGTATTGTCAAACTTGTACGACCGTTCCTTTTGTCTTCAGAAAGATGATAACGGTGGAGATGCTAAATTACTGTTACAGGCAAATAGAGTTTCGAATAGGCTTCATAGGTTAAAGATGTTTTGGAGTGATTTCTTGAATAAGCTGACTGTATCATGTAAAGCAACACAGAGGAAAACCACTTTGGAACAACACTAATGGAGCGGTTAGGAAGAACAGTTTTTCTGCGGTAGAGGTTGCGAAGGCGAATACACCCTTGTTTGATTTTTGTAGGTGTACGTGAACGGTACGATGGTGTACTGTGAGACTCAAAGCGTGATCACTAGTGAAAACAGACTCTGTGAGCTTTAAGGGAAAATGTTCCGGGTGCTCCGTTATTGCTTTGTCTAAAAATGGATCACCTCTTGGGAAGATGAATAAAT